TATTTGAGTTTGTTTATAGCAACAATTTTACCTTTTATATCGGATTTATAATGGCCGGTATTAAAACTTCACTAATTGGTTGAAGAATGGGACAACTGACTGAGAGGAGGAAAAGAATATCTTGTCAGAGGTTTCTGAATAGCTATGGATGATTCACAAACAGATGAACCAGTTTAGTGCTTCATAAATCAACCAATTCATTGTCTTTCACAATTGACTCATAGGTGAACCTTAAGTGAGTTTTCAGAGGTTATACATCGCACAGGAGGAAACTGCCCATTTTTTTAGAGTCCTTGCTAAACTGAATCACTTTTGATAAGCTAAGATTGTCTTGGTAAAACTTACTTTTTTTTTTACAACTATGAAAAAACCCTCAGTTGGGAAAACCCTAAGTGTGTCTTTCTTTTTCTTTACAGTGAAGAGACCAAGCAGCATATCCCACGTTTACTGAAGACTAGATGAGTATTTTTATTGAATTAGTTCACTTTCAGATGAAATGTGAAGAAAATACAGATTCAGATATTTAAAAAATGTCACAAAATGCAAAGAACTGAAGAAGCAAGCTTAATGCAATCAGTTTGACACCACTGAGAGGAAAGAAGAAGAAAATAGAACATGTACATGAATTGCATCTTTAAGTCTATATTGGAGTGTTTTGGCCCCTTCTAGAATTTCCTGGAGTCCTGTAGACTGTTATTCACTGTCCACATACGCATATATAAAAATATACCATCTATAAATAGCCTTTTCAGTGAAATTAAAGATGGGAGAGGAAGACTTTCCCAGTATAATTACAGAGCTCAAATCTACAGCTGTTGTTCCCCTCTAGTTCTACCAAGAAAATTTTTAATATCACTATTTTGTATTTAAAAACCTCAGTGTTTTTCTTTAATGTTTTCAATGTCAATGGGACATTTATTTATTTATTGCCAAGATTTCTCACATACCTACTTAAAAAGATTATATGTTACATCGGGTTGTTTTGTAGATTAGTTTTGTTTTATAAATGAAAGATTTTCACGAGTGTTTCTGCTCCTTATCTGGGGATTAACACCACACTCCTGCCAATGTTTTCTTAAACTATATACATGCACTTTCACACTCTCTCACACATATTTTCTGTTAAGATGCATCACCTTAAGCTTTCCCGTGGGCTCTGAAAATTCTTGGTAAAAATCGACTACATACTATACCACAATGCAAAAGGAATTAAACAGAGCACTTTCATCTTTGCTTACAAAAAAAAAGCAGGTAGTAATGTATTCATATACAGCCTTTGTTCCCTCGCTGAAGACCAACACCCTTCCATCTTTGAGAGACTTGAAGGACAAGGAAGGGCTGGTGAGAGGAAGGAGACACGTTTGTTATAAACGGTCCCACATACTCTCCCAGTGGAAGGGTCTAAATGTCTTTAGCAGTTAATTTGTAAGCAAAAACTCCGCTGGGAGCCTTCCACCTAGTCTAAAAGCAAACATTCTTAATAGGCGGCATTAGGATGGTGTTAAGAGAAGCATGCATGCTTTAACTGAAAAGGTGTCATTTTATGAGCAAAAGCTGAATAAATCTTAAGAGGCCTGAAGTTGGCATTTTTTTCCCCCTCCTTGCTTGAATCCAAATTCTTCACAGGCTGTGATGACTCCACACCCATTGTGGTGCTCACATCCCAGGGGGATCATAAAGGCAGGCTGCTCTGCATAGTCCCACTGGCTTCCTCCTCCTGGGGAGAGCTGTCTGTCACAGGTTTCTTTCCCTGTGTTTGTAAAACACACCAGCCATGTGTGTGAGCCTGTTAATTAAAACAAAAACAGAACTGTTTCTGTTGAGTGTTAAGACAGAAATTTCGAGCTGGTGCAAGGAAGGAGAAAGAGTAGTGCCAGATCTGTGCAACAACGAAGAGATCTCTGTCTTATGATAAGAAAATGAGGACCCTAGTCAGAAGTGAATGAAAAAAATTCAAGACTTGCAATTGGAATTATGAGAATGCCTCTGTCATTTCCCTGAGGGACTGCTTAATATCAAAGTGTCTGAAGAGTGAAGCCATCTCTGTCACATCTGACTCCAAAGTTAGCCTCTCCTACAGAGGAAAGAATAGCCTCAGTGGCTTCTGAGGCCATCCTGGGGTCAAGCCTGCAGTCTATTCCTGCCTGAGCTGCTGAGTCACTGTCACTTTGGGAGTCACTTGACCTCTGGTTCAGTTTATCTAGAAGGTGGAGTGAAGCCTTCAGCTGAGAAGCCTCTATAGGCAAATCCTTCATTATTGCTTGGAAAGGTCGACTGACTTCTGCCACCTAAACTCAAAACCACTGATGTCTAACCATTTAGGCCAGGTGTGTTAGAAAACAAAGCTTAAATTCTTCCAGAAAGAGAAACCGCATCAGAAAAGACCAAAACCAGATTCTTGTTCTCTTGCCCATAAGGACTTCTCCTCTTAAAGGAAATAAAAAACAGGGATCAAACAAGTAAAACAAAAAAGTCAAACCAAACCTGACGTGATGACCCCACATGTCACAGAGTAGAACTGCCCTATAAGGTTTTCTTGGCTTTAATCTTTTAGAAGAATTCACCAGGCCTTTCTTCCACATGGATTAGACAACACTTCTCTAAAGGAAATGCGTGTTCTGTAACCTTCAATAGCTCTTGCAGACTGTGAAAATACTTAGGGTTGTCCATGGGGGTGGAGATGAGAATATGCAGGCAGGAAGCAGGAACAAGGGGGGGGGGAAGTTAAAATATTCATTACACTTTGAATTTTAAAAAGCAGGGAAAGGGGCGGTGGTGAGGAAGACTTTAGCAATAGATAATAAATATCCTGTTCAATAGTGGATACAATCAAGTTTCCCTCTATACCTTCTTTCCACAACACAAGTTCTATTCTTTGATTTAGTGAGATGTAGGAACAACAAACTCAAGAAACATTTGTCTGTTTTTTTAAAAAATTTATTTGTGATCTGTACATGTGATAAAGTGGGGCTTCACTGTAGACCTTTAAAGGCAAAACCAAAGTCCAAAGTAAAAATGTATAAATACAATATATATTTTCTTACAAAAATGGGAGATTTACAAAATATACATACTGCACTTGTCTATTTTACAATTTTCACATGCACTTAAGCAAAACAACACAAAAGATGCCAAAAAAACCTCTGTCTGTGAGAGTTTTAAAAATCTGGCAGCTGAAGCGGTTTTGGAGGTTTAAGAATACAGCGCCAGTTTTTAACTTTAATACCAAAAGCAGCTCCACCAAGTGAACATTACATATATGAAGTAACTCCTGGGAGTACCTCCTCTGAGGACGGTATTATAAAACTGTTCTGAGAAACAAGATAGTGTGGTGAGCAAGGAGAGGGCAGCATCAAAGGTGTAGTAAAGGTTAGTTCCCATGACTCTCTGCTCAGCTTTCGGCCATTAAGCAAAAGAATCAGACTTCTACTACAAAAAAAAAAAAAAGGTATATGATTTAACATTAATAAATTTAAGTCATCAAGCACATTTCAAAGAACTTCAGGATTACTTTGAAGTTTACCTTCCTTTAATGACTTTCCTCAAAAAGGGGGCCCAGAATTCCAACTTTCCTTTTCATTCACCATCATCATATGCAGATTGCCTCCATCCAACCACAAAGAGAGGGTCAGTGTACACATGAAGTCTTACAAACTGATGCATGGAAATAACGACAACAGAACGGTCCCTTACTTTTTAAAAAAATTTAAAAAAAATTTCCTTTATTATGAGGCTGAAGGCTTTTCCTCTTATCTTTCATATTCAAATTGGAAGGGCGTGGGGAGGGAACAAATCAGAAAAATCAAAATACATGCTTATTGGAGGGGGGGAATGGGAGATTTTCCTGGCTATTTTAATGGAGTCTGTTGGATCATGTGTTCTGAATTAGATTTATTTAAAACAAAACCCTTCGCATTTTCTTTAGCCAAGTCAGAACCTCTGACTTAGTGGGGGAGGAAAGCACATTGCCCTTCACTTTTCCTTAAAAAGGAATGTTTATCGCAACCAAATTAACATCCAAAGGGAAACCTCAGATTTGCGCTCCTTTGCCTATAAAAGTTGCTGTTCAGAGTTATGCCTTTCCACGGGGAGACACTTTTGTTTCTCCTCTTTTGTCTCTTACAACAAAGGGGGGGGGATGCATTCCTGTTTTGAAAAGCAACAAGTCATCACTTCTTTTCAGGGCATTAAACCAAATAAAACACCCTTCTTTCTTCCATCTTTCTTTTCTCCGTGTCTGCCTCAGAAAAAATGAAAAAGTACCAGAAATACCTACTACTTGTCTCCCTCTGGCTCATCTCGAAATGTGATCTTCTTTTTCTTTGGCATCCCCACATTAGGATTCTAGGAGGCAGGCCTCCCAAGACTTTCAAATGCTGATTTTACAAGACTTGAAAGGGCTGGGGGAGGAAAAACGGGCGGGAGGGGGCCTGGAGGAGCGACTGTAATGTCTGACCCTGGAAATTAACCCATCTGGGCTCCAGTTTGGCCCCAGTGAAAAGAGATTAAGGTTTGACCACCGCTTGACAAGGGCACCGCGGGGAGTCCTCCCTCTTCCCAACAAAGAGGCCGCCGCAGACTGAGCTGTACCTTTCCCCCGGGCCTCACAGGCGTGGGGACAGGCCATGAAAGTTCCTCCACTGTATTTTATGCAGCGGAGGGACAGCTCACGGCCCCCGTGCTGCCCCTGCGCGGGAAAAGAACTCGCAGCAGCCTCTACAGCTCTCCATTTTCTCGACAGGCCCCAGTAGGCCTGCAGCTCGCACAATTAACATCCTATTATCACCACCACGATCCTGCAAGTCTTTTGCCAGAAGTCTCTTAACCCACACCGCCTGTCCACCCAGCCTTCTTTCTAAATCCAGCCCTCGGTCCAAATGTGCCACTGACCTGGCCCTTCCAGGCCAGTGAGTGCTCAGTGGCGGGGCAGGAGGTGACTGCCACCAGCTCCCCCAGCCGGCAGTAGGGTCCCGGGCCGCGCCTCTCCCCTGGCCCGGGGCTCATACCGCAGTCTCTCCCTTGCTGCTGTGACTAAGTCTGTGGTAGAAGCGGCGCCACGACTGCAGGGTCTTGCCCGACCAGATCCAGAAGCCGGTGGTGATGCCCACGATCATGGTCATCAGGTACTTGATCATGAAGACGGTGAAGTCGGGGCTCATGGGCGGAAAGTGGCCGGGAGGGCAGGGCACGGCGTAGCTCTTGCACGTCTGCAGCAGCCAGGTGCGCTCCCAGTGCTCGCGGAAGGCCTGCTCGTAGAAGTAGCACGCCAGCACGATGGTGGCAGGCACCGTGTAAAGCACGCTGAAGACGCCGATGCGCACCATCAGCTTCTCCAGCTTCTCCGTCTTGGTGCCGTCGTGCTTCATGATGGTGCGGATGCGAAAGAGAGACACGAAGCCCGCCAGCAGGAAGGACGTGCCGATGAAGAGGTAGACAAACAGGGGCGCCAGCACGAAGCCCCGCAGAGCGTCCACGCTTGACAGGCCCACGTAGCACACGCCGCTGAGCAGGTCCCCGTCCACCTGGCCCATGGCCAGGATGGTGATGGTCTTGACGGCGGGCACGGCCCAGGCGGCCAGGTGGAAGTACTGCGAGTTGGCCTCGATGGCCTCGTGGCCCCACTTCATGCCAGCCGCCAGGAACCAGGTGAGCGACAGGATGACCCACCAGATGGAGCTGGCCATGCCGAAGAAGTAGAGGACCATGAAGAGGATGGTGCAGCCTTCCTTCTTGGTGCCCTGCGCCACCGTGCGGTAGCCGTCGTCCGAGAAGCGCTCCACGCAGACGGCGCGGTCCTCCAGCAGAAAGCCGGCCACGTGCGCCAAGGCCACCATGAAGTAGCAGCCCGACAGGAAGATGATGGGCCGCTCGGGGTAGCTGAAGCGCCGCATGTCCACCAGGTAGGTGAGCACGGTGAAGAGCGTCGAGGCGCAGCACAGCACCGACCAGACGCCCACCCAGAGGCGGGCGAAGCGCCGCTCCTCCTCCTTAAAGTACATGAGGCCGTTGGCGCGGCCCGGTTCGCACGGGGCGCCGCAGTCGCGCTCGCCCAGGAAGCGGTAGCCCAAGTAGGGGGGCACCTTGAGCTGGCGAGGGCACGAGAAGGGGAAGGAGGAGCGGCCGCGGCCGTCTGCGGCCCCCGGGGACAGCGCAGTGAAGGGCAGGTCGGGCAGGTAGGGCGCGGTGGGATAGGCCGTGGGGCCGCCGGCCGGGCCCCCGGAGCCGTCCGAGGTGTTCTGGCCCACGCAGATCTCGCCGGCGCCGTGCACCGGGAAGTTCTCGCAGCGCAGCCGCTCGGGCCACTGGAAGCCGAACTTATTCATGAGCGCCTCGCAGCCCTGGCGGGCGCGCTCACACAGGGACCGGCACGGCGGGATGGCCTGCTCCAGCACAGTGCACACGGGCGCGTACATGGAGCACAGGAAGAAGCGCAGCTCGGGCGAGCACTGCACCTTCACCAGTGGGTAGAACTGGTGCACCTCGAGGCCCGCGTCCTCCTGGTTCGTGTGGCCCAGCAGGTTGGGCAGGATCGTCTGGTTGTAGGCGATGTCCGTGCACAGCGGGATTGAGATGGGCTGGCAGAAGCCGTGGTCGGGCACCGAGATGCCCTTCTCGCCATGGTACGGCTGCGCCCCGGCGCCCGCGGGCAGCGCGCCCAGAAGCGCCAGCACCAAGGCGCCGAGGCCCAGGGGCAAGCGCGACGCGGCCGCGCCGGCGCCCCGCATCGCCGGCCGCGGGTGCAGAGACGCTCTCAGCCGGAGAAGCGTGACGAGGAGACCGGGTGAGGTTGGGATCCGAGGAAGAGACGCCGCGCCCGGCGCATGAGAATCCTCCCGGCGCCGGGGCCGGGCCGTGGGCGGCGCGGAACGGAGGGCGCTGCCGCCGGGGTGTCCGCGCCGCCG